AGAAATTCTTTTTTTTCCCGACAGAGAATGTTTCTAGTTTCTTTTGCTTAAATTAAGGGAATGAAAAGCATGCACTCATTTATTTGCTTCATCATTGTACGAAATCTTATTAACATTTGACCCATTAGTGTCAAATACATGACAATAAAGAATTGACAACACATCAATACAACTTACCGAGCTCGGGTTCCTTTCGCTCTAGGCAATTTAGTTGGATCATAATCCGGAGGGTAGTATTTCTGAAAGAGAAAATCGAATGACATTATGAAGAAGAGAAGGAAAATGAAATCGAAGGAAACTTTCAAAAACCATACCTGAAATACTTTACGTTCTGTCCCGGTCATGTTTCAAACACGGAGATTAGACGACAATCCAACTCTACAAGAAGGAAGATTTAACTGCTAGAGTGCCCAGCTACAAGATTACCGAAAAGGAACTGCGTTATTGACATGATTCGCACTGGAGCGCCGCGGCAACTCGTACACATCGCGCATGCCGCGCGCGACTTCGCGAACGGCCACGGGTGGGAGGTTCGCAGCTGGTACCGGGTGTGCTATGTCGGGGATTCTATTCTAGCAAATGGCGACGAACGCCTTGACTGCAAGGGTCAAAGATTTGGAGAAGAAGGCCAAAAAACCAGGAAGATGCCGATTTTCGGTCAGATAGCGATAGGGTTGAAACAAAGCACTCCTTCAGGGCCCTAATGTTTCGAATGAGGGCCAAGTGCATGGCGCACCCCAGAGAGGACGACACTTATTTTTAAATTGTTCTATAAATCATGTAGAAATGGTTCTCACAGGCACACTCTCTCCCTCGCTCCCCCGTCCATGTTGCCCCGTTTCGAACCTTTAAATTCCCTGTCGCTTCATCTTTCGTTCAATTGCTTAACGATTCGCTGTCCACCAGGTGACAGGCGCCATACGCTCGTCGTTAACGATTCGTAAGGAATGTGTTGAAATGGCGTCAATAAATTTCTCAGCAGTGTCCTTCCACCCGTTTAGATTTAGCATAAAAACGGGTTGCGTAGGAGTAATCCACTGTAAAACACCACATTGCTATGGTTCCTTCAACCCGCGATGACCACTGTCACCAGTTGTTCGCCAGCAAGGGATCCCAAAAACTCCTGAAACTTTGAGACCTGAGTGAATCGATACTCAGGAGTCCGAGACGCAAAGCTTGCTATCCGAAGCCTAGAATGCAAAGTTTTCTCTAGTATCTAGTGTAAACAGCGTAGGAGCTTGTCCAACGCCATTTCCTCTACTGAATTCAACATTTATGCCTTCTTATGTTTTTGCTTTTCAACATGGAGCTATACCTGTGGAACAAACAAAATACTGGCCGTGCATTACACCCAAGGTTAACTATTCAGAGAATAAATGAGGAAGCATTTGGCGATGATCAGTCCTTTCTGGGATGCGCCACGCGATCTACTTTCATTCTGACTCGTGGAGTCGTTCTGCATACAGTTTGACCTTCACTATGACATGCAAGGCCAGCCATGTACAATTAAGAGTTTTTTGTCCCAAAATCCTTCCTTAAATGCCTATCCTCTCACTCCTACGCACAACTCCGTGAAGGGGAGACGGAGGTTATAGTCGAAAGTGAGAAAACAGCGACTATGAAAATTCTGCTTTCTCAAGAACGTTAAAGAATTTCCGTCAGAAGAACTCTATTATTATAGATAAGGTCCGTCAACCGCCGGGACCTTCCTTTTGCGCAAGCTTTCTATCCTCCGCTATGGTCCCTTCCTCCTGTGACACCAACACCTCGTGGAAGTGACGCGTATGCAACACAATGGTGTTTCATACAGTAGAAGGGACACAATCATGATATGACGGTAGATTTTTCGCTTCCCTTCCTCATCCTCCCTTCCTCTCTCCACTGCCCTCCAGCTGCCACTGCAGCACCATGTGGAATGAACGGAAGTGTGCTAAGCAGGTGTTTATATAGCCCTAAGAGTGTTATCACAACTATCCTGCTACAAAACATTGATATCTCAAATCCTGTAAGCTACCCGATTTGTTAGCGGTTTGTTTATCCCATGAGCTTCCTTCTCACTCACTTCATTTTGCGGACGGACACACATACATACATACATACACACACATACACACACACATACAGACATACAAACCGACACACAAAGTTAGCGCTTTATAAAATAGAAGGATAAGGAAAAGCTTTCAATATACTCGCCGAAAATACAGCACCCTGCTCGTCAGAACGACCCACTCAGCTTCCAAAAATCGCAAATGTGTACCCAATCCCAATACACCTTGCTTGACTCACGAGTGATCTTGGCTGTTTCCACAGCTGGGGATGGGATAGAAACTGAGTTAGTTTTTTTTTTTTCGAATGCTTCATCTTCTCACACATTTTATACCTGTCTCACAATGACGCCATTTCCTGGAATTGGGGAGTCCTGGATGTGAAATGGGATAGATTCAAAGAGATTTCCTCTTATATCCAGCCAAATGGTACAGCTGACAGCCTCGTGACGAGGAGCTGAACTTTCATTGGTGGAGATGGTTCAGTTCAAATTGGCTTGATGTGTTGAGTAGGAATGACTGCTTTTTTCGCCTTTGGTTTTTGAGGGTTTGGCTGGAAAGGTTCGCCATGATCTGGCTGGTGCCAGCTACTGGGTTTTGTATAAGTCCAGTTGAGTTTTAACAGTTTCATTGAATAATGGTAGGGAATTTTCAAAACTATGTTTTTTTCTTTATATTTTTCATCAATTATTTCCTATTCCCTTCTGATCTATTTCAACATAATTTTTGTTATCCCGGCTTTATTATTGTGCGTAAATGCACCTACTGAAGCCTTTTTATCACCATTCCTAATCCCAGAAGAACCTCTGGTATGATGATAGACGATGCATTGTATGTTCATATAATGAACGAATTACTGCCCGCTTTTCCTACTTCTCTCTTTTTTTACATTTGCTTCTTTTGTTACCCACCTTCTATTTCTTTTATTTCTTCCCTCCATCGCTCTGTTCCTTTTTTTCTAATTGCGCTGCCCGACAGAGTGAGATGATGAGTCATGATTTTTGAATGAAATGACTTCCGTGGTCTTTCTCCTTCCGCTTAACCGGTTCCAATTTATGACATCACCACAAAACGTCATCAAGGACTCCACATCAAATGTTCCGCGCTTTTTTGTCTCCCCCGTCGACCGATCACCTGCCTGTCGGATTCGATCCACGCATGTAGAAACGTCAATCTGTGGGAGTCGCTCAACTCAGGCGATGTTCTCACTGTTCATATCGCTGCGGTCTCCTACAGGCTCGAAATTCTGAGTCGCCGAGCCGATTTAGGGTGAAATTCATTTGAACGGCTTGGATAGTGTCACGATACCTTTTCACTTCAGTTTTCTGGTGTGCCATTCATCAGGACGCTTGAAGGCACAATACACGACCACCTGAGAAGGGTGACCTTTTCGGTAGTAACGTTAGACTAGTCTGGAAGTGCACAGGTTTCAATTATTTCGCATCCCAAGGCTCGTGGCAAGGACGACAGGATCATACTTCGCTCATAACTCCCGCCTACTGCCACACCGACGTCTGCGTCTCCTTAGCCTGTGTGCAATCTCGTCGCTCTGCCGTTTGAAGCTCTCATCCGAGCGGTCACTTTTCTAAGCTTTCGTAGGCACCAACTGCTGAATGCTGTCCATATTTTCGGTGTCTCTGACTATTTTCAGTCTCTCTTCAATAGTATTATATCTATATTTACGCATTTGAACATTATTGGCCAAATTCCGCTACCGTGCCTTTGATACTCTTCGAATCGATGTCGTCTGCGTCTCTTTAGTATCTGTCCTGTTTCGCCTCTTCTCCGTTAGAATCTCTCATTCAGGCGCGCTCTTCTAAGCTCTTACAGGCGTGCCATAGCTCAACTGATGTCAGTTATCACCAATCATTTTATTTCCCCAACATCCTGTTTTGGCTTCAAGGAACTGATAGAGTTGGAATGTGAATTTCGTTTTTTTTCATCAGTTCCTTTATCAAGAAGGAAACGCTCTTATCCTTATT